TAGTTCATATTACATATGAACTATGTGTGTTATTTTTTAATAATGTGTTATTATTTTTTTTTTGGGGGGGGTCCAGTCGTGGGGCCTGAACTCTGGGCCTGGGCGCTGTCCCTCAGCTCTTCAGCTCAAGGCTAGCGCTCTACCACTTGAGCCACAGCACACTTCTGGCTTTTTTCTTTTTGCTTATGTGGTGCTGAAGAATCGAACCCAGGGCCTCAGGCATGCAAGGCAAGCGCTCTACCACTGAGCCAACTTTCTAAGCCCATAATGTGTTATTTAAAAAGTAGGTTTTTTGTTTTTCCCTGAAGGAGGAATATTGAATCAGTAAGCTCTCCTGTTAAAACAATGCATAAAGTTAGAGAGCTGGGCACCAGTGGCTCACGCCTGTAATTCTAGCTACTCAGGAAGCTGAGATCTGAGGTGGCAGTTCAAAACCTGGGCAAGAAAGTCTATGAGACTCCTATCTCCAATAAGCTACTCAGAAAAAGCCAGAAGTGGAGTTGTGGCTCAAGTGATAGAGTGCTAGCCTTGAGCATAAAGAGGCTCAGGCACAGCACCTGGGCCCTAAGTTCAAGCTCCAGAAAAAGAAGACAAAAAGTAAGTTAGAGATGGAGAGGCCCAGACTGCAGCTCAATGTGTATGCGTGACAAGCAGGTGCTCATGTTGGGTTCCTTCAAGGTGAGCGCAGCCCTTGGGAAGCTGAGCAGGGCCCAGGGGTGTGAATGCTTCCATCCTGGGGGCTCTCCCTACCCCCGTCCCTAGGAAAGCCAACACTGCACACCACACCCCAGAATGAAGCCAGAGCCTTCAAAGAGAGCCAGACCTCCAGAAAGTCTAAAGATGGCCTCAGTAGCCTGGAGCTCCCTGGGACTGTGACCCCAGAGAGCAGGCCTCCCGCTAGCCCAGCCCCAGCTCAGGCACCGGCCAGGCACCCCAGGCAGCTCTAGGAATCCTGGCTGGAGGTCTAGACTCTGCCCCTCCCTCCTTTCCTGCCCAGGCTACAGCAGGGTTGGGGATGATGGGCGGCCAAGCCTGGGCCCATGTGAAAAGGCTAGGTGTGCACAGCTAGCGTACAAGGCAGCCACAGCAGAGTCTCCATCTCCCTGCTCTGGCAGGTGCTGTGCATGCAGAGGCACACACATAGAGGTTTAGTTTGCCTTCAATTTGTGGATCGGGCACACTGGCTCCCCACCCTGGTGTGAAGGGCAAGCCTGCCTGGCAGAGTCCCACGGGCCTCCTGCTAGTCTGGGTCTGTCCCCAGCCCCTCTGGCTGGGCCAGGTTTCAGACCACACTCCTCTGCTGAGCACTGCCCACGGCTTCCAGTCTGTGTGAACTACGGCTCGCTCTCTGGTCTCTTCAGTCCACCTTGGTTTGATAAACACACCCCTGGCGAGCATCCCGAGCGGCCCACGGGGCTGTCTTCTGACCACAGGACCCTGCTTCAGGGTGAGTAGAGATCAAGTGTTCATCCTCCCGTTTAGTAGATAGCTGTCCTAGCCTAGGCACAGCAGGCACTGGAATGTCAGGGAATGGGTGCATTCAAACCCTGCACACTGGAGCTCATGAACCCTACCAGCACAGGAAGTGACGTCACTCTCCTGGTATTGGGATCAGCGTGGCCCCTGCACAGCCACACTAACATGATGCTTACCTGGTGTGGTTTGAGTGGAAAGTAGGCAGCGAAATCCAAGCACCAGTGGCTCATGCCTGTCATCCTAGCCACTCAGGAGGCTGAGATCTGAGGATTGCGGTTCAAAGCCAGCCTGGGCATAAAATCCACATGAGACTCTTATCTCCAATTAACCACTCAGGCTGCAAATAGGCCATTGGTGAAGGCAGCACAATCTCCCCCAGACACAGAGGAAAGGCCTCTGTCCTGATGTTGCCTGTCTCCCCCCCCCCACCTCTGTCACGGTTCAGTTCTGAATGAAACGTGGGTACAGAGAAATCTTTCTCTACTGAATCAAGTGCAGTGCTAAGGGGCAGCACCTCCACCCAGCCGCAGAGCCCGCGCCCACGGACAGAGCCGCTGCCGCCTCGGCGCCGCGCCTCAGCTGGAGGGTGGGCCTGGCCCGTCCAGCCCCTCAGCTCCAGCGACTCCACACTCCAGCTTGAACTCGGTCCACCTGTGCTCTAACTCCCTCCTCTTGTGTGCCGGGTATCAGACCCAGGACTTCTCGCTCAGGAAGCACGCCGTCTATCCTGACCCCCACAGGATGTGCTTTAATTCCTGACAGGGCGTGTGAGACTCTGGCATGGGTGCGGTGCAGCCAGGGTGGGCACAGAGGACGCGGCCAGACCATGCCGGCTCAGAGTCGGTGAGCTGTGGCTGTGAGCGTCACTGCACGGTGTCCACCCTCACGGCTAGGAGGGGAGACAGGCTGAGGCCCGAGCAGTGCGTCCCGGGCCAGTACAAGCACGGGCCAGGGACCGCAGGGCCCCCAAACCTCCTCCCCCAGGCCACAGGTCAGCGCGACCCCCACAGAGCAGTCACGACCAGAGAGGAGCCACGAGCCAGGGTCCCACAGAGCAGGCCACGGGGCTTCCAAGGACTTCCCATTACGGCATCAGAGGCAAGCCTGTTAAGAAATGGGATGTAAAGCCTGAACTCCAGAGTCAACGTCCTGCTGCAGCCCAGATGGAAGTCAGCTGAACGCTTGCGTTGCCTTTAGAGACAGGAAGGTCCAGATCACAGCACGCATTTCTAAGGCACAGGCAGGGGTGAGAACGGAGGGGAATGGCCTTCAGACAGAGGAACTGACATCACCCAGGTTCTGTGAAGGGCGGTTACTTTATTAGACGCCTGTTCCACTGAAGCCACAGCCCCACCAGTCTGCAGGAAGAGCTCTGCAGGGCTCTGGAGGAGCCAACCATTGGGACATAGTTTAAATAATTTCTCAAATTAGATAAGTGAGTGCTATGTGTATTCATCTAAATATAATCAATAAAGTTAAAGCACTAGTCATCAAAATAGCTCTTTAGAAAGTTCCATGATCTATCATAAGTAGTCGTACATGATTTTCAGGAGCAATAAAGTTTTCAGCACTTTTTCAAAGGTGCTTCTGATAAAAATAAACCTTGAGCCAGGTGCCAGTGATTCATGCCTGTAATCCTGGCTACCTGAGAGGCCAAGATCTGGAGGACTGCAGTTCTGGGCTAGCCAGCCCAGGCAGAAAAGCCCATGAGATTCCATCTCCAGGAGAGCAGCAGGAGGCAGGGCAGCGCCCGTGGACCCCAGCCCGTGGATCACAGCTCAGGCCCAACCAGGACCGGAAGTGAGACCCCGGCTCAAAAAAACCTCTGAAAAGCAGTACTGGAGGCATGCCTCAAATAGTAGAGTGCCAGTCAGCAAGTGTAAGGTCCTACATTCAAATTCCCATCATTAAAACAACCCTGAATTTTAACTGAACACTTGTGGCAAATAAAAATTCTGTGTCAGTCAATCTGCCTGCTACATTGGTGTACCGGTGCTACCCAGTCCCAGCATGGAGACACACGGATGGGATGGAGTGGGGGGGGGGAGGGCAGACCCACCCCCAGGCAGAGGCTGCACAGGGCTCCCGGGGCTCTGCTCTGGAGCCAGGCCCATGTGGAGCATCTCTGCATCCAAGGTTACCCCACAGCTTATAAAGACAAAGTCTGAAATCTAGGGGAGGCAGGGACAAGGATGGGGTCCAGTCTGGGAACCTGTGGGGAACTCAGTCAATTGAAGTGGTTCTAAAGTACGAACTAGTAAGACTAATAAATACCTCCCTTCTTTTGTCAACTGAGCAATACAACGTCAATAAAAGCTTCTCATTTGAAAAGAGATTTCTTGGAAGTAGAGCTGTGATACAAGTGGTAGAAGACCAGGCTTGAGCAAAACAAAACAAAACAAAAAACAGCAAAGGGAGCCAGGTGCCCGTGGCTCACGCCTGTAATCCTAGCTACTCAGGAGGCTGAGATCTGAGGAGCATGGTTCAAAGCCACCCTGGGCAGGAAAGTCCATGAGACTCTTATTTCCAATAAACGACTAGAAAACTGTAAGTGGCGCGGTGGCTCAAGCAGTAAAGTGCTCGCTTTGAGCTGAAGAGTGCAAGGTCAGCACCCAGGCCCAGAGTTCAAGCCTCAGGACTGACAAAAACAACAACAACAACAAAAACCCTAAGGAACAGCATTCAGGCCCGGAGTTCAAGCCCCATCCAGTACCAGTGCAAACAAAACCAAAGGGCATATTAGAATAGTTCCTTCACTGAAGAAACAGCCAGGGGGCTGGGAAGGTGGCTCGGTGGTAGAGTGCTTGCCTTGCATGCATGAGGCCCTGGGTTCGATTCCTCAGCACCACATAAGCAAAAAGAAAAAAGCCGGAAGTGGTGCTGTGGCTCAAGTGGTAGAGCACTAGCCTTGAGTTGAAGAGTTGAGGGACAGCACCCAGGCCCAGAGTTCAGGCCCCATGACCAGACTCCCTCCCCCCCCCCCCTCAAAAAAAAAGAAGAAAAAAAAGAAACAGCCAGCATGAAGGCCCACCAGAGGCTGAGGAGCAGGGAGGGAGGTGTGCACCAGGCCAGCCCCTCCCACCCCCCCCACCCGCCCACAGCGACCCTCTGTCCTCATGCCACCTGCCACTAGATGGCAGTGCTGCAACGGAGTTTAATATCCACAGGTGCTGGAACATTTTGCAGAGGGTTACAATTTTTCATTTTTGCCAGTCTTGGGGCTTGAACTCAGGGCCTAGGTACTGTCCCTGAGCTGCTTTTGCTACCACTTGAGCCACAGCGCTGCTTCTGGTTTTTCTGTGTATGTGCTACTGAGGAATCAAACCCAGGGCCTCATGCATGCTAGGCAAGCACTCCACCACTGAGCCACCTTCCCAGCCCAGTCAATTCTTTAGCAGTAAGAAGAATGTGACTTCTTGGTAAGTCACACAGCGTGTGAGCATGTGGGGCCTGCCACACCCACGCGGGGCTCCACAAGGAAGCCCCTTGGAGTACTGAGCCCCGCGCCCCCCCCCCCCCCCCCAGCAGGCTCAGCTCCTGCCCACTGGCCTGGCCTGCAGGGCTCCTGTGGGAGCTCACCACCACAGTCAAGGCAAAGACCTGCTCCTAATGCGAACTGAGATCTTAGTAATACTTTGTGGCTACTTCAGAATTAATACTGACGCACAGCCAGGATTTCACTACGATTTCACACCCATCAGGAAGGAAAGTCACTATTTGCGGAGCTTCGCAGAGCACTGTGCCTCCACTCGCCAGCACCGAGGTTCCACCAGGTACTGGGGGCTACAGCCTCTTCTTCTGCAGCACCTGAGCAGTGCTCCTTCCTGGCGGGCTGCTCTTGGCTTCTGTCTGTGCAAAGTTCCAGTCCACGGGGTTGAGAAGCTGCTGCGTCTTCTTGTGAGTCCAGTAGGGATTGAGGATTAGTGTGAGCAGAGCCAGCCCAACAAGGAACAATACAAAGTGCGGCAGGTACAAGCTGCTGACCAGGCTGTCCCAGTGCCAGAAACACACCCACCACATGTGGTAGGTGAGCACCATGCGGCAGTGGAACATGTGGACCATCAGCCACTGATTGAACCTCCAGAGCAGCGTCTCGGACCAGCCGGCCTAGGGACAAGACACTGCGGTCAGCGGATGGAGCGAGCACAGCCCTCCCACCCAGAGCAGCAGCCTAGGGGACACGTGCCATCCCTACACTCAAAACACCAACCAGAAACCCTCTTCACAGCAGCACACACTATTGCTAGGGCTTTGGTCTCCCCAGCACAGTTCTGAAAGAACTGGCAAGCCGTTCTTGATTTCTGCCTCCTAAAGTAGGGATTTATTCCTTTTCTAACCTTTTTATCCTGATTTTGCATAGATGAACAAACAGGCTCTACTTATCTAACACAAGACATAATGCAAGCCAAGCTGCCACATCCATGATCTCCATTAAGTTTACCCTCCCTAACTCTACCGCCATACCTATACCTTCCATACCTATATCCTTCTGTGTTTATACCTTCTATACCCATACCTTCCATACAGATATCTTCTATACCTATATCCTCCCATGCTTATACCTCCCATACCTCTACCCTTCTGCTACAGTGTTCTATGTGTGAGAAGCACTCAGTGATATGATATATCTGTGGACTGGCCAAACATGAACAGTGTTTCAATTTCCAAATAAGAGTGATACATGGTCAAAGACGGCAAGAACCTATGCTAAAAATACTCTTAAGAAGTGCAACATAAGTTGGGCACCCGTGGCTCATGTCTACAATCCTATCTACTCGGGAGGCTAAGATCAGAGGATCGCAATTTGAAGTCAACTTGGGTAGGAAAGTCCATGAAACCCTTATCTCCAATTAATTACAGAAAAAGCCAGAAGTGGTGTTGTGGTTCTAGTGGTAGAGTGCTAGCCTTGAGCAAAAAGGAGCTCAGGGACAGCACCCAGGCCCAAAGTTCAAGCCTCAGAACTGGGAAAGGAAAACAAAGAAGTGTAAAGTAGCTGGGCACCAGTAACTCACACCTGTAATCCTAGCTACTCAGGAAGCTGAGACCTGAGGATCATGTTTTGAAGCTAGCATGGGCAGGAAAGTTTATGAGGCTCTTATCTCCAGTTAACCATCAAAAGAGGCAGAAGTAGACTGTGGCTTAAGTGGTAGTGTACTAGACTTGAGAGGGGAGGGAAAAAAAAGTTTGGGGACAGGGCCCAAGCTCCAGGACCACCACCACCACCAAAAAAAAAGCGTAACAAAAAGGACATCCTGACATGAAAGTGAGTCATGAGTGTGTATGGAGGACGTTAATAAAACACATTTCCAACACAAAAGCAAAGTCTAGACAAACCACTATGCTCGGTGCCAGTGTTCTGGTCATGAGCAGGCTGGCAGGTAGGGCCCTGTGCCCCAGGAGGTAGGGGAACGTGAAGGGAAGGCCTATCTGAGTGGGAATGGGGGTGGGGACAGTGGAACACGGTCATCCAACCTCACCTCCGACCTCACCAAAACACTAGAAATGGCATGTGTGGAGTAAGGAAAGAGGTCACACTGTCTCTTTCAGGACACCCAGGAGATGCAGGATGAAGGAAGGACACTGGGTCAGTGTCTTGTCAGTGCAATCAGCTGCCGGTGGTGTGCGGCAGGCTCCGAGGCACGCCGGCCTTGGGGAGCAGTGCAGGGAACAGAATGAGGGCCGTGTCCCCAGCCTGTCTGCCCCGCCCTTCCCTGGGAGTACGCACCTTCAGGAGCATCCAGGAAACACAGGTGAAGGGAGTGCTCACCTCCAGGAGCAAGGTGGTCATGGCTAGATAGTGCCCTGCTCTGAGATTGACCACCAAGCCAAGAAATCCAAGGAAAGCAAAGAGGTGATGGGCACCCAGGAATAGATCGAAGGTGCGGAAGCACAGGCTCGACAGGTGAATGGCCACATTCTCGAAGAAGAAGAAGCCGGTGGCGGTGGTGATGTGAAACCAGCACCAGTTCTGCTGGGCCAGTGCTCTGTCTGCCTGGAGCACGGGGTCCCCCAGCAGAGCCCACAGGCCTGAAGCTGTGCTCTGCACACCAAACACGGCCCGTGTGGCCGCGAGGTCCCAGAAGACCTTCTCTCGGGCTGCCAGGGAGCGGTAGGTGATGTTCAGAGAGGACGAGAGCTGGTGGCAGACCACAAAGACGCCCAGGTAGAATATGAAGCCTGCAACCACCAGCGTGGAGCGGATTTCCCAGGAGGTGTAGTCCAGGTCAAAAACGCTCTCCGACATGGCCCCGCCGCTTACAGGAGTCATCTTCCTCCACGGTTACCGGCTGCCCGGAGCTGCAGCCAGCACCACTGGACCTGCCGCTGTATCCTGTCCCAGTGAAGTCTCCAGCCCGGGCCAGCACCTCACTGCTGTGTCTTATCCTAGCGAACAGTCTCCAGAGTCTTCACACACGCAGCTTCAGGCTGAAGAAGAAACGAGAACTCACTTTATATGGCCTCACAGAAGCAGGCCTGCTGCTCCGGCAAGGCAAGGCAGAGGGAGCGCTTCACTGCTGTGCCTTGTTCTCATTACATGCAAACACTGACAAGCGTAGTGAGGCAACACCTGACAGCACAGGATGGGAGAGGATAACCTGCGGCATCAGAGGAGGAGAGGCGGCAGGAAGGGGGGACACCCAGACAGGATTTGGTTTTTTTGTTTTTGTTGGTCGTGGGGCTTGAACTCTGGGCCTGGGCACTGTCCCTCAGCTCTTCAGCTCAAGGCGAGCGCTCTACCACTTGAGCCACAGCGCCACTTCCGGTTTTCTAGTGGTTTATTGGAGATAGGAGACTCACAGGTCTTTCCTGCCCAGGCTGGCTTTGAACCGTGATCCTCAGATCTCAGCCTCCTGAGTAGCTAGGATTACAGGCGTGAGCCACTGGTGCCCAGCCCAGACAGGATCTTTAACATGAATTCCACAACAAGGCCCTAGCCTTTGTGGCAATCTGTCAGTAGTTATACAATTCACAGAGGCCACAGGGTAAAATGCATCTAAATAACTGCACTGCAATACACTTTATAAAGCACCATGCTTCTAGAACCCAGGACAAAAGCATATGGTGCTCCAGCATGTGGCCAAGCACACACATCTGTCTCTGGCACACCCCATCCACCTGCACGCCCTCGCGGCCTGGACCTGACGATGGCTGGCCCCCATTGTATTTGCTGAACACAGATGCTGAACCACACTCACTCATGTGGTCTAATGGGCCTGCCTGGCCTACTCTGTGATACCGTGAAGACCCGAATCTCAGGTTCTCAGGACTGGACGACACAGGCACCCACAGGGACTGGGATTCACAGAGCTGGCACAGGAGCCTCTGCCTGAGGGTGAATGGGGAAAACCGCATGCACGTGTGAGCACATTACAAGTTCAGCTTCCTTGTATAGGCTGATAAAAATGAGGCACGGGCCAGGCGCCCATGGCTCATGCCTATAATCCTAGCTACTGAGATCTGAGGATCGTGGTTCAAAGTCAGCCTGGGTAGGAAAGCCTGTGAGACTCTTCTCCAATAAACCACTAGAAAACAGGAAGTGGCGCTGTGGCTCAAGTGGTAGAGCGCTAGTCTTGAGCTAAAGAGCTGAGGGACAGTGCCCAGGCCCCGAGTTCAAGTCCCCTGACACCCCCCCCCCCCAAAAAAAAAAAAGAAAAAAAGAAAAAGAGGCACAGATGAACAAAGGAGAGCGGGAGAGGAGCAGTCCGGTGTGCATCACAACAGCTGGCCACAGGAACCCATGAATAGTCTGTGAGGCCACACCCAGGGCAAAGCTCGCTCCCGCTTTCCTGGACACAGCGGTACACACCTGGACACCGTGGTGATCACACGGTGAAGGGCACGATCCTTCCGTACAGCTGCACTGACTGGGAAGCCCACATCCACACTCACTCTCCTGGCATGCTGGTGGCTCCAAGCCACTGCCCTGAGGTGTGTTTTTGGCATACATGGACGTTGTCTCTGGTGACCAGGAGGCTGCTCCATCTACAACCCACCCTCGCGGTTCTCGTCTCTGATGAGGTCATAGTGAGGCTCCAGTTTCTGAACCCAGTATCTCCAAATGCACTGAGAATCACTCTGTTCAGACCAGGTTCAACACTGCCAAGGGACTGGTACAGTGGCCTTCGCACACTGTACCTCTGAACCCAGGTTCTAGGTACAGATCTGCTTCAGCACCAAGTGCAGGGCTGGGAGGGGAGCCGTCTCCTCTCAGGGTGAGATCTCAGGGTGACAAACCAGAGGCCTTACTTGCAACACTGAACGGCAACCCCGGAACCAAAACTGCAGACTGCTGAAAGGCAGACTTGTCCAAAAGGCCCGTTTGAACTTTGCGCAGTGGTCAGACATGACTAGTCCCGTTTCTGCCATGATTGCATCAGTGTGAAATCATGTGGCGAAACTTGGCTCCTGTGTGGCTTTGCCCCCACAGGTGGACCCTGGCTCCGAAGAGGTCTTGGCGTCCACCCCAGAGAGCGAGGAGCACAGAGCTGTCCAGGAGAGTTCTGGGTCAGGGGGCGGAGAGGGACTCCAGGGCACCAAAACCAGAGGATTCAGAGCAGCCTGGGGGCCAGACGCCTGTAATCCCAGTCATGCGTAGGCACAGCCACGCCATCCAAAAATTAACTATAATGACACCCACAAGAAAGCCCTGAGTTGAAACCCAGTACTAATCAAAGAAGCCCAGCTTCGTGGTTCCCATACTGGTTTTAGTTCCTAAGCTTTCTTCTTAGCCATATTGGGCCCTAGTGTCTGTCTCACGGTAGGAGTAAGAAATATATAGCAGCACCTGCTATGTCCTAGGGGTGCTCAGCTGGTTTGCTGAACCTTTACAAGAGAACAGAAACCACTGCAGCCAGATGACTCAGACAGTGACACAGAGGCGAAGGAGCCGGAATGGAGGCCTGGCATGCCCCAAGAACAGTCCTGGGACAGATTAGACACAGAGGCAACAGATAAGAAACCCAGGGCACTTACTACAGCAGCAGCAGAACTTCTGGTCAAGCCTGTGCTCTCCTGAGTCACGGTGTCCCCTAGCTGGGGATGCAGGAATGAGGGAAAGTCAAGTTCCTGAGGCATGAGGGTAGCTGGCCACCTAGTCCCAGTTGGAAGGTGCTGGGTGGCAACTGACCATCCTCCTCGGAGTCCTGAAAAGCCCCTCTGCGCTGTCACTGCAGGGCAGCCACGGCTCACCCGGTCACGCAGGGGCACCCATGGAGTTACGGCTGGGCAATGGGGTGAGCTCCAGTTCACCTTCTGCATCTATTTCTGCCACGGCTCTGTTCCCCAGCTACATAAAACTCAACCTGAAGACTCGCCCTCTTCACCTGAACTATGCACACACACAGTCACTGATCACGCCACCCCTCTTCTCTGTCTAGCCAGAGCACCACAACTACAGGTCTTCATTTTCTCTGAGGAAAAATATTCTCCAGATCCATCTTACTCTTCCTCCTGGACCATGTGGTGGATCAGTGTTCTAGGGCACCCCACCAGGCCTTGTAAAAGATGGGAATGAAACACATGGGTGAGAGCGGTTAATCCTGCTGTGGTGTGGCCACGCCACCTCACTGGGAGCTGCTCACCAGGGTATCAGCATTTCTGTGCTTGGTTAGAGCATCTACCCCAAACCTGGAATAAGGTCACACTGGTTTTCTGTGTCATCAGTCCAGATCACTGTTTCAGGGAGGCCTGGCATCATGTGACTCTTCAGGAGAGACTATTCTGCACAACTTGCAAAGGCTGATAAACTGCCCCATTTCCTTCCCACCACTCACGCTCAGCTCTGTCCCTAACCCAGAAGCGAATGTCACCATCCCTCGGCCCCCCACAGCACAAACTTGCCTCTGCCTCTCGGGAACTGGCTTTCTCATTCTGCTGGGTTTCCGTGGAGCTGGCAGGAGAACGACCCTCTAACGCTTTGAGAACTACGTGTGAACTGGTGGTCAGAATACCCTCTGTGAAATGGAAATACAAGTCCGACCTGACCGCCGACCTCTGGTGGCCGCCTCCTCGGCAGAGGCTCCGCCGCAAAAAGGGAAGGAAGCCCGGCCGGGTGTCTGTCCCTCGCGTCCCGAGCCCTTCCCTGCGACCCCGGCCCTTCCGGGGCGCCGGGACGGGGAGAGCCGGTCGCCGGCCTCAGGGTCCTGGACGAGGCCACAGGGACGGGCGGACGGGCGGAGTGCGGCCCCGGACCGCAGCGCGCCTGCTGCGGGAAGCGGGGGGCCCTGACCTGCGACTGACCCGGTCCCGACCCCCGACCCCGCGCCCCCTGCCCCGACCCCGACCCCGCGCCCCCCGTCCCGACCCCACCCCTGCACCGGTCCTGACCCTGCTGCCCTGCCCCGACCCCCGCGCCCCCGGTCCTGACCCCACCCCCGCGCCCCCTGCCCCAACCCCGCGCCCCCTGCCCCGACCCCGACCCCGCGCCCCCTGCCCCGACCCGACCCCGCGCCCCCTGCCCCGACCCCGACCCCGCGCCCCCTGCCCCGACCCCACCCCCGCGCCCCCTGCCCCGACCCCACCCCCGCGCCCCCTGCCCCGACCCCGACCCCGCGCCCCCTGCCCCGACCCCACCCCCGCGCCCCCGACCCCGACCCCGCGCCCCCTGCCCCGACCCGGACCCCGCGCCCCCTGCCCCGACCCCGCGCCCCCTGCCCCGACCCCGCGCCCCCGGTACTGACCCGGGCCGGGGCAGGTCGCAGTCAGCGGCGGGCGCCCGCTCCGCACCGCCGGGACGGCAGGGAGCCCGGGCTCGCGCATCCGCAGACGGGCTCAGCGCCAGCACGCCGGCCCCGCCCGCTCCGCCCGCGCCCGGCCCCGCCCTCGCCCGGCGCGGGCGTCGTCGTCACCGTCGCTGACGTCACCGGCGCGCGCCGGGGCCGCGCACACGCGCTGTTCACTCCGTGGGAGCTACCACGTCGGGCGGCGCGGGGGGGGCACCGGGCCGGACCATTCGAGCGGCCGGGGGGGGGGGGAAAATGAGCGCCGGGCCGGACCATCCGGGCGGCCGGGGTGGGGGGGGCGGGATGAGCGCCGGGCCGGACCATCCGGGCGGCCGGGGTGGGGGGGGCGGGATGAGCGCCGGGCCGGACCATCCGGGCGGCCGGGGTGGGGGGGGCGGGATGAGCGCCGGGCCGGACCATCCGGGCGGCCGGGGTGGGGGGGGCGGGATGAGCGCCGGACCGGACCATCCGGGCGGCCGGGGTGGGGGGAGCCACAGCGCCACTTCCGGGCCTTTCAGCGTCGGTGGTGCGAGGCGTGCGAGGCGGGCGAGGCGGGCGCCCCTCCGCCGAGCCACAGCGCGGCGCCTTCGCGGTGGCTCGCGCGGTGCGAACCGGTGTTGACTCGGATTCAGGAAAGCCGTCCTGGCTCAGACCCCAGGGCATGACAGACGACCCACGCTGCCCGGCCCAGCCGTCCGCCGGCCCCGGGGCGCGCCCCGGTGTCCCCCCGGCCCGCCCCGGCTCCCGGGCCGCGCGCCCCGGTGTCCCCCCGGCCCGCCCCGGCTCCCGGGCCGCGCCCCGGTGTCCCCTCCCCGGCCCGCCCCGGCACCCGGGCCGCGCCCCGGTGTCCGGCTGCAGCGCCGGGATCTGAATGCATTGCTTCCGAGTAGGAGCAACAGTGAACTTGGCTTCTGTATCTGCTCGCTCGCCCGTGCACCGCGCCTCCCCCTCCGCCTGCGCGTGCACCGCGCCTCCCCCTCCGCCTGCGCGTGCACCGCGCCTCCCCCTCCGCCTGCGCGTGCACCGCGCCTCCCCCAGCCTGCGCGTGCACCGCGCCTCCCCCTCCTCCTGCGCGTGCACCGCGCCTCCCCCTCCTCCTGCGCGTGCACCGCGCCTCCCCCTCCTCCTGCGCGTGCACCGCGCCTCCCCCTCCTCCTGCGCGTGCACCGCGCCTCCCCCTCCTCCTGCGCGTGCACCGCGCCTCCCCCTCCTCCTGCGCGTGCACCGCGCCTCCCCCTCCTGCGCGTGCACCGCGCCTCCCCTAGCCTGCGCGTGCACCGCGCCTCCCCCAGCCTGCGCGTGCACCGCGCCTCCCCCTCCTCCTGCGCGTGTACCGCGCCTCCCCCTCCTCCTGCGCGTGCACCGCGCCTCCCCCTCCTCCTGCGCGTGCACCGCGCCTCCCCCAGCCTGCGCGTGCACCGCGCCTCCCCCAGCCTGCGTGTGCACCGCGCCTCCCCCAGCCTGCGTGTGTAAGCCCCCCCCCCCATGGCTCTGTGTTCTGAGACTCCGGAGTCCAGGACATGCTGTTGCTGGCCACTATGGCAGGTATGTACCACCATGCCCAGCTTCTCTGGGTAGATAGAGCCCCACAGACTTTTCTGCCCAGGGTGTCAGTAAACGCTCATCTTCCCAGCTCCGTCTCAAGGAGCTAGGAGAACGGAGGAGAGCCACATCCAGGAAGGGAGACACTGACCCTGCTGCCTTCAGGGCCGTCGCTGGTCCCCTGGGCTTTCTAACACGGTAGGTGTTAGAAGGGTGACAACCGGGACTCCACAAAAAGGAGTTCAAACATCGTCCAGGTGACACGCGGGACTCAGTCATCTAGATGATGTGGGAGCTCCTTTTTGTTTGCTTTTTTTTGGGGGGGGTTCCGGTCATAGGGCCTGAACTCTGGGCCTGGGCACTGTCCCTCAGCTCTTCAGCTCAAGGCTAGCACTCTACCACTTGAGCCACAGCGCCACTTCCGGCTTTTTTCTTTTTGCTTATGTGGTGCTGAGGAATCGAATCCAGGGCCTTAGGCATGCAAGGCAAGCGCTCTGCCACTGAGCCACCTTCCCAGCCCCTTGTTTGCTTTTTTCTGGTGCTAGGAATAAAACTCAGGGCTTAGGTTGGCAAGCAGTTTACACTGAGCTGTATTCCTGCACAAAATAATTTGTGCATCTATTGTTTTGAGATGAGTTCTTGCTCTGTTAGCCAGCTAGCCTCAAACATTTGGGTTCAAGTAACCCTCCTGCTGCAGTCTCCCAAATGTCTGGGACCACAGGCTGAGCAATCACACCAGAGTGAAATGACCAAGAAACTCTCAGTCCATTTCCAGAGTTATAGGTGACCTCCCTGATTCACTTTTCAACCTAGTTACTACTATCTTAGGAACAAATTTTAGGCTCAAAGATAGCTCTCCGTCTTTCTCTGTCGGTCTGTCTCTGTGTGATGAAATAGAGATACTGGGTCTAAGTAGCCTTGTCTCGTCCTCACCACCATCCTGGAGGTGACCTTGTCTCGTCCTCACCACCATCCTGGAGGTGGAAGCTGTGCACCCAGTCCTAGAGGAGGCAGGACATTCTTGGAGCTGCAGGTGTGTCACGCGGTGTAGCTCCTGGAAGGTTTGCTCCAGAGAATGCTCACCCTGATTGTGCCCCTATATGGTTTGCTTTGCTCATGTATAACACTTTTTGTTGGCCTTTACTACCCACCTCAATCAATGTTGCCTTTATGAGCTTTGTGCTAATAGCACCCTGGGCTGCAGGTCTTTGGGACAGGAGTTCTCCTGCAGTTGCTGGCTTTCTGGTAAAGACTCCCAATTCGACCTCTCAAAATGTGGTCTCTCTGTATGTCCTGAACAACTCCCAAAAACAGTGAGATGAATCAAATAGGCACTAGAAGAAACTTAATGACACTTAGTGTTTAAAAGTGTCAAGTAAAATGTTGTGAATCCCACAAACCCACCAAGTAGCACACCGAGTTAGTATATTTGTTAATTGCCAAACAACAACAAAAACTTACCTAAGTGTTTTTGTCTCCAGTTTTTCCTAGCAGGCACTGCATTCCCTTTAGATTTGGATGCTGGGGTGTGGAACTTTGGAGTCTCTGAGGAGAAGTCACCTGCGGGGCCCAGGACCCGGTGAAATTTCAGTCCACCAACCTGTCATGCTGAGCTCGGCCCAGCACCCTTGATTCCGGCAACCAGGTCATTATACATCTCTTCCTGAGCCTTCATTCATCCCAACAGTGACTGAGCAGGACCCAGATTATAGGATGGGCCTGAGTCACCCAGCCTGAGATGGGCGTCGCTGGAATCTGCCAGGAAGCAGGCCCCATGCCAAGGAGTGCTTAGGTGATGCCCTGCTGCGCAAAAGGAGGCCCACGCTCAGTTGTGTGACCTGTTCTTGTGTGAGTGAGATGACTTAAGGAGAGACTGAGACCATCTGGCGTCTCCGGTGGGGCTGTGTGGGCGAGCGGCCTTTCCAGGTGCCGTCCAGTGGGCGAGCGGCCTTTCCAGGTGCCGTCCAGCTGGGGCACTGAGCAGCCCCAGGAGAGCCAGGCTTCTGGCCTCGCTGCCCTTTGTACCTTTTTTCCCCCTAATTTTTTTTTGCCAGTCCTGGGGCTTGAACTCCGGGCCTGGGCACTGTCCCTGAACTGCTTTTGCTCGAGGCTAGCGCTCTTCCTCTGAGCCACCTTCCCAGCCCCATCTGCCTTTGTTCTTTCACAGGACAAAATTATGATTTGGCCTCAAGCCTTTAACTGGTTTTATAAGCAACTTGAGAATCCCAGGTACTTTTTTTTTTTCCCTAGTCCAGGGCTTGAACTCAGGGTCTAGGTGCTATCCCTGAGCTTTTCTTGCTCAAGGCCTAGTGCTCTACTTCTGGCGTTTTTGTAGTTAATTGGAGATAAGAGTCTCACAGGCTTTCCGGCCCAGCTGGCTTTTGTTAGGTTTAATTAGGTAGCTGAGAATGAAACATCACAATTAGAACACCACGTGGTAGAACTGCTGCATACCAGGCGCGGTGGTGGCGCTCCGGGTGAAGGGGCTGGCTGGGTCTGACCCGGGGTTTATCTGGGCAGGGCAGGGAGAAGGTGTGGCCACAGGATGTGGATGTGACCTCAGGGCCTGGGACCCTCTCTCGGCCTAATGGGAGGCATGGGTGGGGAGGGGGGCTCATCCAGGATGGGACCTCAGAGGAGGGGAGGTGACCAGGTGTGCCAGTCACCTAGGTGATACAGGTACTGGGTGGGGACTTGGGGGTGGGGGGATCTGCACGCCTTCACTGTGGACCTTACAGCTTTGAACTGCTGGCCCTCCTGAGTAGCTAGAATTACAAGCCTGCTGGCTGCAAGCATTTAGGAAAAAGACTCTTGTCAGTACTCTATTTTGTGTATTGACTGATTGATTGACTTTAGAAAGTAACAATGATTTGGGCATGTTATTATAAATATGCTCTCCAAGAACTACTGGAGTCCTGACAGACATGAAAAGAAAGACTTGTCTCAGCAAGGCTAAGTTTACTTCTGCCAGAGGTGTGCCACCAGGCTGAAAGCTGGCAGGCAAACTCAGGAGAGGTGGGCTGCCCCCTCCCAGCCCCCATTTATCTCTAACACAGCAGGCCCTGCCCTCTGCTCTCATTGGTTGAGCTCAGGTTCACCATCTTTTCCTGATTGGCTAGTTTGGATAGGATTAACATGTATTTACATAAAGTGACTGTGAAATAAGATTAACAGTACACAAGCAATCTCAAAATATACACACACCCTTCACTCTTTCCTGAGCCCTCAGAGGGGTGTCTTAATTCCATCTTATAAGAAACCAGCTTAAGGAAAACCTTACATTTCAAAAGTCCTTCCTTATCCCAAAGCAGTTCCTCTTTTCCTTTGGGAGAGCTAAGCCACCAGGTCAAAGCAGGAACTTTTAAGCAACACACTTTGATAGAAAAGACAGAGTTAAGGTACTACAGAGAATAATGAGCATAAGCATAAATCTTTTTGTTTATAAAGTATGTTTCATAAATACTATCTTGGGTGTGTGCTCAGGAGTAGTTAGGGTGAGTGAGGCCACAATGTCTTCACTGAGGAAATCATTCTTGGCTTAAAGCCTTGTGTTTGGAGACATGTACTACAGAGTGTTTGGAGACATGTACTACAGAGTGTTTGGAGACCTGTACAGCTATTTGGAAACATGTGCTTCTGAGTGTGGCTTTCATTTGCTGTATCATAGTCTGGTTTCACATCCTGCTGCCTGGCTGCCCTTCCAGACTAGCAGACTTGTGGAGATAGCCAGGACACAGGACCAACCCAGAGTCACTGGCCTGCCTTGTTTATCTGGCTCTTCCACCTGGGGACCTCCTGTCCCTCTCCCTCCTCTCCCCTTTCTGCCTCCATCTCTCCCTCCCCCCCCCCCTCCCCCCCCCCCCCCGGCGGTTCCTGAGCGGTCTGGGTTGTGTTGTATATTGTGTGGTGTGGTGCCTTGGGCCACTGTGGTCTAGGTCAGTATAGTTCCCAGGTGATCATGTCACCAGATGTGTAAGGTATATTAAATAGGTAGGTTTCATAAGATAGCAGATGGAAGAAATGAAGAGAACACCACATGCTATTCAGGCAGGAGAAGAAACTTCTGGCCCGGCATGGCTGAAAAGGAAAGGGGGGACCCACCCCTGGGCTAGGGACAGGAAGAGGTGTGGCCAGGTGGGGAAGGGTGTGCCCACACTGGATCCCTATGTGACTCTAGGGTCTGGGACCCTCCTGAGGTCAGATAGGAGGCGTGTGACCATTGGTGGCCCGGGATGTGACCTGGCTGGAGGGGAAGGTGACTTCCAGGTGTGCCAGTTACCTAGGTAACAGATACTGGGTGGAAACTTAGACAAGAGATAGGGAGGTGTCCTGTGCAGACCTTACGGGATGCAGGTGAAAGCTTGTGAAGTTGTCTTTTAAACGTGGGGCCTCTTCACTTAAGGTCCTTGACTTCAATCGCAGAACTTCTGGGCTAGTCATGATGGTAAGACTTGGCAGCGCTTTATTGAGTGAGTAAGCAGTCAAGCAGTCAAAAAGCAGAGACACACTCCAACACAGTATGTGTGCTCTCAAAGGGAGACATACACAGAGCTCCTCCACCCAAGGGAGGCAAGGGAGGGGTCTGACTCCAAAGACAGGCAAAGATAGATGTTTTATCCTTGCTCTACTCATTCCTTTAATCATTCCTCAATTTCAGAGTTTCTGATTGTTTGGGACATTTCTTCCAGGTAAGCATTCATACAGTCATAAAACAGACACTTATCCTTGAGATAGGAAAGTGTACTGTTATCTACATTTTGGGTAGGAGGTTGCTTACATTTTGGGGGAGCATTTCTCTCAGGAAGGCGTCCTTTCAAACAATTGTTCATTTTTGGGGTGAGAAATGCATCCTTCAGGAAGGAATGCATCCTGTGGCTGTTCTTTGGAGCTAGACAGTGCTTCTGGGATTCTAAATACCATGCTTCTGAGTTGCCTTCACATTCCTCAGTTTATCCTGCGTCAATCAGCCAGTACTGACTTCTTCCTCATCACAGTTCACTCTGTGTGCGCAAAACAAAATGGTCTGCTGGAGTTCACACGACATTTTCAGGAGCAAACAGAACCTTTGTGTTAGGATTTTAAAAAGAGGTAGCCAAGTAAGAACAGCACCAGCACGCACATGGTATTCAGGTAAGGGGTAGGTTTATTCAGTAGACCTGCTGGGACCAGGCAAGGTTGGCACTCCACGTGGCAGGGAAAGAGAGAGAGCTGGTAAAGAGAGAGAAAAGAGCTAGAAAAGAGCAGAGAGAGCTAGAATAGAACAGAGAGAGCAGAAGTAAGAACAGAGAGAGCTAGAATAGAACAGAGAGAGCAGAGAGCTAGAAACTAACAGAGAGAGAAAAAGTCTGGGCCTGAGCTAGCCCTTATCTAGGGTATGGGCGGGGAAAGGTGTGGCCACATCAAATTCAGATGTGACCTCAGCGGATGCAGATGTGACCTCTTCCAGGTGTCCCTGTTGCCTAGGTAATGCAGGTACTGGGTGGAGACTTTGCTGCGAGGAGGGTGGAGTCTGCTAGCCATCCAGGAGTGAACCTTACACTTTGGGCCTTAAAAAAGGAGTGAAAAATGAAACAAAGACCAAAGGAAAAAAAAAACAAACCTCCAAAAACCAAATCCCTGCATTATCAACAACAAAAACCTTTGTATTTACAAGGTGCCATGAACATTCCTGCCATAGAATGTGGAGTGACACTTCCGTTAATTGAGAAAAGTGTCCAGACTCACAGCAGTGACATTTTGTGTGCCTCACATGCCACATTGGGTAGTGAGCCTTGGGTCAGACTTTTCCCACCATGGGTCTGCTGCGGGGCAGCAGGGCCCCGGCTGTCCTGGTGCAGGGGCGCCCTCGTCTCTCGGGTGCCCCGCCCCCTCCCGCACCAGAGGAAGGCAAGAAGGAGAACTTGGCTTGTCTGTGGGCCGCTTACCTGCTGCCCTCACACGTCTCAGCCCCTGCGGGCGGGGGAGGGGGAGGGGGAAGCCGTCCTGCGCAAGGACCCTTGGTCAGCAGTCGGCCCTCCTCCCCTGGGCAGTCCTGCTGTAGGGCAGCTGAGAAGCAGCCTCTGTGCCCAGAGGGAGCAACTGTGTGGGGTCTTCCTGGAGGTGGGCGGCTGCTCCACCCTCAGTCTGAAGTAGGCCCGAGAGGAGACTCCAGCTGGCACAGCTTCTTTCCAGGCTTTGCCTTTGTTTTATGGATTTTAGGAAAAAACCTTTAAACAAGGCAACCAGCCCAGCTCCTAGAATGGAAAGAATGCCTCTAGGTTCCCCTCCCCTAAACAACCTAACCCACCTTGATTGTTCAGTTAAGGACTGACGGATAAAACAGGTAGTAATCTGGCTCAAACTGGCAATGTCATGAGTTTACCGCAAACTCCACCTTTTTCATGTGCTTATGGTAAACTCCACTAAACTCGGCCTTTTGCACTTGCTTACTGTAAACTCCACCTTTTGTGCATGCTTACCGTAAGCTCCGCCTTGACGCTGAATTCGTGAGTCCTTTAAACCAAAAGTGACAGGCTGGTTTAAACAGCCATTATGTGACAAACTGTAACCTCATTGGCCACCTGTGTGTGGTCTGGTATGACTGTGCAATCTTGTGTGTGTGGTGATCTCATTGGTCACCTGCGTGACCAGGCTCGACCTTATGAA